GAGCCACCCAGAAGCCCCAGGACATATTTTCTTTTGAATTTAAATTTCTCCGCGCGGGAGGCCTGCTTCTCCCTCTGCCGCTCCCCCTACTTATGCTCAGTCTCTCTCTCTGTCAAATAAATAAAAATCTTAAAAAAAAAAAAATGTATGTAAAGGTCAATGTGGCATCTCCTATAGGTCAAAAGTGTCTCCTTACTAATTAAAGGCCTACTTATTAAAAAAAAAAAACAACTTAAATCTCTTAATAATTCAAATCATAACTGATATTTTAACTAAGGTCTCTTATTTTAGAAGTAGAAAATGACTTTATAACTTTTTAAATACAGCAGTGGGAAAGGTTTGGACAGATGTGCTATGTGCACACAGAGGTTTTTTGTCCCCCATCCTCAGCCAGGCCGGTTTCTTCACGTCGCACTCACATGTCTTGTGCTTTCTTGCCCGCATGCTTTGGCCCCTACTGTTTCATCTGCTTGGAATCCTACCCCTTGTTCTTTCTCTAATCTGTACGTACATTCAAGTTCCAAACACTCACTCCCTCCCCGAGCCCCAAATGATGTCTCCTGCCTAGAGATTCATAAAAAACCTGTTGTGTGTTTGCCTGTTCATGAGGCAGCACTCAAGACTCTTTTTATCTATTTCCTGAGCTCACTGTCTTTCATGTGGCGAAGAGGTAGCGTAGCAGAGAGGGTTACACACACGGCCTCCAGAACCAGGCTGCCCTGGGCTTAAATCTCAGCCTTACCACTTACTACCGTGTGATCTAAGGCAAGTTGCTTTTCCTCTCTCTGTTCGTCTGTAAAAAGGGATAATAGTTTACTACCTCATGGGTGTTTGTGAGGATTAAACAAGTTAGTATATGTAAAACATTTAGGACAGTTGTTGTCATGTAATAAGTACTGTGTAAGTGCAAGCTATGATTATCATGATTTTTAGTATGTCCTCAAGTGGTTTCTAAGCTCTTTGAGGATAAGACCCTATTCTGTTCCTCAAAAGCTATGGCCTAGCTTTATAGATATCCAATGAATGCCCACTGATTTAATTTAAATAAGAATAAATATGAGCAGGGCGCCTGGGTGGCTCAGTCGGTTAAGCGACTGCCTTCGGCTCAGGTCATGATCCCAGGGCCCTGGGATCGAGTCCCGCATCGGGCTCCCTGCTCTGCGGAGAGCCTGCTTCTCCCTCTCCCACTCCCCCTGCTTGTGTTCCCTCTC